GCCGCCGCCGCGCCGCCGCCGCCGCCGACGCCGCCGACGCCGCCGACGCCGCCGCCGATGCCGACCGACAGCGGCTATGTTGTTCGCGTTGATGGCCCCGCCGACGGACGCGGCCACCGTCACCGCCGTCTGCGCCTGGTTGATAACGGGACTGGAGAACTCCTCCTGTCTGCAGGTGCACGGATTGATTTCGCGGCGCACGGCGCAGTGGAGGCTCGTGCTGGCCGCGAGGCCCAGCAGCGTGTAGAGAATGCCGGACATACTGTCACTCAACACGCAGCGGCTTGATTACGGAGCGTAATTACTACGGCACGAACACGGAAGATAACGAAGCTTCTGAAGAACAACAGGGTCCATGAACGGATGGGCACGTACACCCTGTGTGCGCGACCACTTCTCTCTCCCCCTCCTCGCCTTCACTACTCGGTACACTGTACACTCGATGTTGAATCGATGTTTAACGCGATGATAAATGCAATTCAGCCCTGGTCTTCGTTAAGGAACGCAAATGTCGATACAATGTCGCATAGCGCGGGAGGACAATGCGGAGCTGTCGCGCGCGGTATTATTCTGTTCCGACACTAGTACCCGATCAACACTGATCAACACTGACAGAAGAGCCTGACACAGCGGAGCGCGATCGGATAGAAGCAACAGTAGCAATAGCGACGACTGACAGCCACGTGTTATCTGCACTGTCGCTGATCCACACCATTCTATGGAATATAAGTTCACCGCGACTCCCTCTTTTTCTCTCTCTCTCTCTCTCTCTCTCTTTCGTTCGCTCTCTCCTCTCCTTCGTTGGCTCGCGGGAACGCGCTGTCGAGAAGTTTATCGTCGTCGTTAGTGGGCCTTCCTCTTGGCGCCACGAACGCGGCAACGGCATTAAGCCGCGGCGCGCCGCGCGAGACTTACTTATAGTCGCAACCGGAGTCGTCGCGTCGGTGCCCACCGTGGCGCCGCGCGCCTCCTTCGGCGAGGGACTCCCTCCGGGTCGCCTCTCTTCACTCTTCTTACGACTCCCTCCGTCGTATACGTTACGCGCCGTACACCGACGAGCTCATCCTCTTTTTCTACCGGCCTCTACCGCTCTCCCGCTGCGCACACCACCCCGTAGTATGCGTATCCTCGTTCTCCCTGCCTCGCCCTCCCCTCCCCCCGTTGTTGCGCGCCTCATATTCGCCCCGTTCTGCTATCGTGTCCCAACGGCACGCTCCTGACTCTTACTCCCTCGTCGCGGCTACCGCACTTACTCAAAAACTGGTCCCCACCAAAGTGACGCTGTTATCTCTCTTTTTGTGTTTCGCCAATTACCCGGAAGTTTTGTCAGGAAAAAAAAAGGAGGACATCACTCGTCATTTCTGTGAACTGCGAATGGATGACACGGTAATCTCGTCGACTCGAGAAGGACGGAAGAGTTTTGCGAGGACAACCGCTACGGCGGAAGATTCATCAACCTCTCGTCGTTGTCGTTCATCGCGTTGCACGCACGCCGCAGGCGCTGTTTGCACCGATAAGCGGACCGATTGCTCAACTTTTGACCTTTGCTTAACTGCTTCGCACGGTGCGCGACATGAAAGAAAATACATACCAGATCATTCTCTCTCGTGCTCTCTTTTCCATTCTCTTTGTATTTTGCGCTTTCTTCCGCTTTTGCAAACCGCTTTGTGGCGATAGCGCGCATCCTTCGTCGTTTCATCCCTTCGCCTATCCGTTTGATTATTTTTCAAGAATTATAAACCTGAAATTAATATATTTGTATTATTACGAATCCGCTCCAAACTAGTTTCAATATATCTACACTTTGTACATGAATAATTATTCTTAGTTAAAATTTACTTTTAATTATAATTGAAACAATCATAGATCGGTTTAAAGAAAGGAATCTACATCTGATTTTTCAACGCCCGATCTTTCAAGTTATGACTCGCAAATTATAGACTTGGATTTCGCAATAGATTCAACCTGCAAATTATGAACTCTGCTCTTCTTCTGAACACTTCAATTTTTTTATTACAATCTAGTTCAAGATCTTTCTATCGAAAACAAATCTACACGACGAAAAGCTAGCAATTATGGAAATTTTGCAATCGAAGTGATTCTACTTCCTCGTCATATTTCGTAAAACGACCGTGCAAAACAGGGGCTTCTCCTGGGTCACGAGAAGACACGCGAATTTCTCTGGAATGTCGGTTCGGAGCCAGCTGAGAGAGAATCGTTGTTGTCGTCATGGTTGGAGTTAAGCTCGACCGATTCATCATTGACGACGATTATTAAAAGCGGAGTTGGGAAAATGTTCTTCTCTGTGTGTTGCACCCGAGTACTTTGTAACACCTCAGGTAGCCCGGTAGCTTTTGTCGCGACACCTTCTCTTTTGAGTCTCTTTTTCCATCATTCGGGGTCCGAAACCGGTATATAATCTCGCCGTGTTAAGTTTTCAATACCTCAGGTACGGAAAAATTTATCTCGCCTCGGTCAATTCTTTTCAATTGTCACGGATAAGTGCGGTCATTATTTTGAAATACGGCATCGAGATCCGAGCTGACGCCGAAATTACATCGAGGCTTCATTCTTTCTTATTGGAACGTGAAGAAGGGTCGCAAGAAACGTAGTGCTTTCGCCCGTTACAAATTGGCGAGATAAAATCCCAACTTCGCGTTCGTTAATCATCGCGAGAGAAGCGATCCCGGGAGTACGCGTGTCCGTGTCGAGATCGTAAGTGTTCTATCAAGGGTTCCTCTGTTCATCATAAAATAATATCGATTACTTAATGAGCTCGCCGATGCGGCGGCGGCGGCGCTTCACGGGTCGCTTGTCATCCGAGTAAACGCCTCTATCTATATAACGTAGCTGTTTACGCGCATGATTTACGTACCCATTTATGTGCCGTAACTCGTCCGAGGTATGTCGTACAAAATTCTCGAGCTCGGCGGCGCCGAGCTCGCCTTATATCCTCTTTAAGCTATTCCGCAACTACATCGGGGCTACCATTGGTATTTGTTCACACTGGCGCCTACAATTCGTCTAATCTCTCCCGGCGTAAAGGTCATCAAACCGTAGACAAGGCGGCGAAAACAGCTTGGATTTTTCATAGACGTCTCGTAAGTTAGGACGAGGGCACATTCGACATCTTCAAATATATTTCCTGCAACACGAAATCAACGGTTTTATTTTATTTATCTTGACAGGCAATATACGGTGCGCGAGACCGCGCTGGAAGGAGAGAAAGGGAGAGAGAAAAAGGCGAGGGACTTTCTCTTTGTCCTGCTGACTATCCATTATCGCTCGTATTATTGCCGCAGGCAAAGAGTAATACGGGAGCAAGGGAGGACACAACAAGCGAGAAAGGCCAGGCCAACAGGCAAGGCAAGGCAAGGCAGGGCACGAGGCACGAGGCACGAGGTGGAGGGACCTAACTCCATGCCTCGGTTTAACGAATGCGAGAATGCGGCCTGGCGCCAACGCACACGCGGCCGCCGCGCCAGCCGCCGCGTCACGCACTCTCGCCTCTCTCGCCGGCTCTCTTTTTCTCACTCTCTTTTTCTTTCTCTCTGTTTAATGACCTTACCGAAGTTCAAAATACTAAACTGCAGCCCATCTTTTAATTCGTATGTCCGCCTCGTGATTAAAATATGATGAGCATGTGCAGTGTTCCACGAGATAATACCTAATCAAATAGAAGCTTCGTCTCGTATCATAAAATTATCATCGTGTTCTTCCTAAAATCATTGTATTCTAGAACGCTCTCTAGCTATTCCTCAATAAGAGTACAACAGAAAATTAATAATTTTGCATGAAAAATATGAAAAAAATATACGACATATAAATTTCTTTAGTTCGTAAAAAAAAAAGATTTGAATTAAAGAATTTCATTTCAAAGAAATAAGGATAATCTTTATATTTCACACGTAACATTCTTTAATACTTAACATAATTTTTAATTAATCGACGCCTACCGGTAGCTACCGCGGTTTGTCGGTATAGGTACATCGTTTCTCTGCGGCGCTCTGCCTGCATCTGTGTACCGCATAGCTTCGAGGTATGCAGGCGAACTCCTCCTTTTCTTATCGAGAAAAAGGAACGAAGGAGGAAAGAAGCAGGAGGAGCGAGCAATGAGTGGAAGCAGAGCAGAGAGAAAGGTAGCGGAGCGGGCATCGTGCTCGAGTATACACGATAGGCGCCTTACACGCTGCATTGAGATATTGGGAGATTATCATCTGGCGTGGGTGTTGAGGACACTCACTTAGTGTAAAGATTAGCCTCTCAATAGTTTGTCGCTGGTTCTTATTTCTAATATCACTCATTAGTAGTTATCGTTCTCAGTAACGTGTCGGATCGATCTAAATATCCACATACCTTCTCTTTTCGTATCTTTTTGTCGAAGGAAGAGTTGTGCCACCAATTTCTCGGAAGTGTTGCAGTTGCGTCCATATCGTACATTTTGTAAGAGAGATATTTGTCTTCGCTTTTTTACGCTTCTGGCATCTGGCCTCTTTCTCTCCTCTCCCTCGCTCGCTCGTTCCGTTTACGCGGCGCCGCGTCGCGTGGTTGACCGCGAAAGGGGTAAAAGAAGCTGTACGATAGAAGATTAAGTTAAAGGCATACTGACGATCTAAATCTAGACGGGTGTTGTTTCAAAGCCACGTCGTTTATCGAGTTTCGCCAGCTTTCCTTCGCTTCTAAATGGGATCACAATGGAACACTGAAGCTGTTGACTCTTGTTCTCTACCCTAAACATTTCTTATTTTGCGCAACGAAAATTCCAGCGAACAATCATCAACGATAGAGGCGATTGAAAAACGAGAAAAGTGTTTTGCTTAAATATTTCAAAACTTTACATGATTTTCTTACTTTCTTTTAAATAATTATACTTAGAGATGTAAAAATTATATGATACTAAAAAACAAAAAGTAATGTTTTTATGAGTTGTAACAATTAATTTTACATATGGCTAATAAATTGTTATTAAAAAATATCATTTTCCTACCACAAAGGATCAGCAAGATATCTCAACAATGTTGAGAGCCTCTGATGAGTGTGTTTACGATGGGATTTAAAGCCAGCTCTCATTCCATGCCTTTCTGCCGCGGTCACGACCGAATCCCGGCCGAACTTTTCACTTCTATCGCTCTTATTGTATCTTTTTTCTGAACAGTGAAGTTGCTTTGCTCTCAGTAGCAGGATATAGAGGAGGAAAGGACGTCGTGGATTGGTACATTGTCCGTCGTCGTGACTGTAGAGAGACCTTTATCAGATGATGAAGTATACATTAACAAAAACCAGGAAACATATATCAATAATAAACGTTAATGCTTTACACTTCCAGTTTAGATATTGTGCTGTAGATTTGCTTTAGATTCAAACTTAATTTATTAACCACTTTTTTAGCTCGTCAACAAGCTATTTATTATAGATTAGTTTTAGATTTTTTTTATCAATAGTTATAATGCAAGTATCTATATATTATACATTTGATTAAAAAATGCTTAATTAGAAATGTAAGGCATTAATGACTTTAATTATAAAATAAATGTATCTCATCATCTTCCGCATACTATAAAAAATCATTAATATTTTTTTATAAATATATTATGCATTGGAATATATTATCTCTTCTTTTCGCACCAAAATGTATACTAACCTCAATAAAGAATAATTGCTGCACTCATAATAAATGCAAGGCATTTTTATCTATATTAAAAATATTGTGTATTTTACATTCATATTAAAATATATATTTTATATTTATTCTATTTCTTTTAAGAAAATAAAGTTAACTGTTAAATCATTTTTACTATTTTTAGGTTATTTTGACGTTTTCAATATCCAACCTGCAAAAGGAATTAAAAATCAAGAGTTGATTATAAAAATTTACCTGCCTGACAAATATTTATTTGCTAAAAATATAAAAAACAATAACTACAAATAAAAGATGAATACGAAGGAAATCTCTTTGTTTATTTCGTTGGCTGTCATTTTTAATTTTTTCTTTGATATGTGCAACACGCAAGTTTGTATCCAAACAATTTAATAGCTATATGTAGAAACCTCACACCTCATACCTCACACTAATCATACAAACTCACATGGAATATCATTTTGATGTAATTTGAAATATTTGCCTGTCTCTGCAAAATTCGAAGCCCTTGTTAAAAAATGTGTCTGCGTATGCAGATTCTTTGATACTTCTCTGATACTTCTCCGTATCAAGACTTTTATACTTCTCCATGTTTATATTTCTTTCAAATTGAACTAAACTCTACTTTACGAATCGCAGCATCATCTATCGATATCTTTAAAAACGACCTAATTGTGTCCTAAACAACAAACGGTAACAAGATCGAAATATTTATCATCAATTTAGGGACTGTTGTTACTCGTATGTTGCCAGTACTTGCTGCATCGTTGGTAAAACGCATTCTGGGTAGAATAACGTGTATCATATTCTCCTCCCGTCTCTCGTCACCACTCGTTACTTCACGGCATTGCGCGACATTATGAGATTTGCAATAAATGAAAGGTGAGTGAGAGAACGAGACAAGTGAACAGCGAGTGTACAGTGAACGGGTCGCAGATTATTATATCGATTCGCAAATTTACATCAAATTCATTTTTTTCTTTCTCAAGATCGACCACACCGAAGGGAACACGCAAGGCGTAATAAGCAGTTTTCCGAGCGTTGAAAGGTGGGCGATTCGCTATACTGCGTTAGCATCGAGTGATATTCGAGTATTCGAATATACGAAAAGCCGTATCTAACTCGTACGGGCATCTAAAATCCCGAGGTTATTTGACAATCTCGAAGTTTCTGCGTACGTCTGCGACGCGAACATACAGACAACAATGATCGACCTAACAGTCAAGACCTTGGATTCGCAAAATCATGTCTTCTCCCTGGAAGACGACGTAAGTTCCATTTTGTCTATTGCTATCGTTGATATAAAATTGACGTTATCATTCGCTATTTCTTTTGGTTTTTTATGATTGGCACAAGTCTCTTGATGATATCAAAATAAAAAAAAAGATCTGAAGATATTAAAATATAACCCCGTGCATTGAACGCATTACTTTTCACAAATTTTTAATTTGTTTAATTTTATAATGTATCTCTGCAATTCTCCTTAAAGCAAATCACAGTCCGTGGCTTTAAAGAACACATAGCAGAATCTGTAGCGGTACCAGCTGATTCACAGAGGTTGATTTATTGCGGTCGAGTACTTCAAGATGAAAAGAAATTAAATGATTATGGTATATATGCACATATCTTTCTATTCAAGTACAAATAACTTTATTGCATAAGCATATTGGAAGCATTCGTGATTCGTGTGCATTGATGGGATTTGATTGTTTTCAGACGTTAATGGAAAAGTAATTCACTTGGTGCAACGCGCTCCACCTCAATCAGGACAACACAGTAATGATGGCGGACAAACGCAAGGTCAGGGCAACCGACAGGGCTGGCAAAGCTCGCAGAGACCACACTATCGTGTCACGCGCACTCAAATGCATGGAAATGCAATGTATTTGGGTGCGATGTCGGTACCGGCGGAAATCGTGGAGGGACATGGTAATATTTTGACATTCTGTCTTCTACCATCACCTGTTCCTAACACATCTGATTTAATTGTTCCTCAGGGATACCACAATTGAGCAACAGCCTGTCTGGTAGTCGTCTTACGCATGCTGGTCGTATGCTTGATCGTATAAATGAGCTGATTGATCGATTAGATGATCCCAGTGCTCCTCCTTTGCATCCTACTGCGTCAGAACTCAATCAGCCAACTGCACAGCAACAACAACAACAACAACCGCATGAACCAGAAGTAGAGCAAAACGAGTGAGTTAAATTGGTGTTTCGGTTACTAAATTTACATTTCTAATCTATAGCACACACAGCAATTTGTCAATCTTTGTAATATCTATAGGACTAATGACGCTTCAAGAGATGATAGTGGTGTTAGACTCGCGGAAGCAGCCGCAGCTGCCATTACAGCTGCATTATCTGCTGCTGGTGCACGTGCAGTTACGTTGTTCCGAGGTTAGTGCATTTGCTAGTCTAATTCGATTATTTAAAGTGCCTAATAATCTAATATGTCGCGATATTACATTGAACGCTTAATGATATAGGAGGCAATTACAACAGCACAAATGCGAGACCTACAAGCGATACGAATGAAAATCAAGGTGACGTACAGTCTCAGTCGCAATCGCAATCGCAATCGCAATCGCAATCGCAATCGCAGTCACAGTCGCAGTCACAGTCACAGTCACAGTCACAGTCACAGTCACAGCCGCAACCACAGCCGCAGACTCAACCGCAACCGCAACCGCAACTACAACAACAACCGCAACCGCAACTACAACAACAACCGCAACAGCAACAGCAACAAAATCAAGGACAAGGACAAGAAACTGACACGGGAGCTACATCGAGCAATGCTGGACAAAGCAGGAGGACTCAACAGCAAGAGTATATATCTTAATTTATATATTTTATGTCAATTATGGATGTATATATATTTTATTGCTAATTACTTCCTTTTTAGTCTACCACGACCTCCACAGATGGCAGAATTATTGCAGAGATTATACAATACTCAAGAGCGACTAAGACCGTATTTAGAACGTTATTGCGTGCTTATGCTACTCGATCCTTCATTACCACCTGGAGTGAGTTGATAAAGAGATCGTCACATTAGTTATCAGACACACACAAAATGAAATCTTACCTTACTAAAGATAATTGTATCGTTTAGCCTGGACCAAACACCGTGGAAGAGAGTCAGAGATTAGTAGACGGAGTCGGCGAAATTCTACACCTTATGTCTCACAGTTGCCATGCGCTGAGCGACATTATTATCGATATGAGCCAACCACCACCGAGAAACTTACGCTGCCGCCCGATAATAGTACAGCATTCGGCCATTTTACAGCCTGGTATTCCGATCCAGGTGGAGGTAAGCATGTCGAATAAGAATATTTAATATATAAATAAATGTGTTCTAATTGGACATTGCATTTATCACTATAAATAATGATGTTTCAATATTGCAAACATATCGTTTTCTATCTTCCACAGGCACATATTAGTCTGAATGGTCGCACCGCTAATAATAATAACAGTAACGAAGAGACGGCCGAGTCCGGTAATCAACAGGCACAGTCGGAAAATGCAGAATCAACGATTCCATCGCGTGTTAATGCAGAGGAAGGTAATCAAGAACGAGAATCCGATGGTACAACGCAGTCGCAGGCGGAGAGGCCGCAACAAGAGCAAGGCCAGTCGCCCTTCGGTGCGTTTCATATTATGATACGGTTTTGTAAGATGCCAGACGTGTGTCAGAATATACATTACTTTTGCAGGTACAGTATTCAACTTGCCGAACAACGTCGAAGTGCTGATGGAAGTGAGCTCCGAGAGCAATATAGAAGGTGGATCAGGTAATGAACAGAATGCAACAGGCAATGAGAACAACAACAATGCTAACGCCCGTAAGTTAAGGATATATGTATCATATTTGAGAAAAGGAAACAGCCTTGTTACATGTGTGACACACGTTTTCCATTTTACAGGCAGGACAAATATATTTCCGTTCGGCGCAGCTCCGCCGCCCTATTTCATGCGAAACTTCATGCAGGCCGTTGCGGGACACATGGTGCACGGCGGTATTACCACTACGACCATAAGTTCCAGAAATCAACCTGTTGTTACTACCATAGCAGGAGGGCAACAAGGTGGTCCTGCAACAGTTGACAGTGGAAGCACGAATGCCGGTCAAAGTACTCAAGCACGGTATAACACACATTAATATTCACAATATTATTATAATTCTATGTTACAATACGAAGAGAACATGCTAAGCATGTGCTATAAAAAAAGAAAAGACACAGCAAACAGCAAATTGTACATTTTATAATATATTTCTATTAAAATTTTTATGTAAATTTTTTAAATTATATTCTCTATTTTTGTTTATATAAGTTGTACTTTACATTTCTGTTATATATTTAATAATTCTATATAGGAGTAATACCGGTACTCATCCTACCACTGCTACTCAAACTCGAAGTACATCGCGACCGCACGTGTTCCATCACCATGCACATCCAGTTGGTCTTGGCATGAGCATCGGATTGGGCCTCGACTTTGATCCATATCTCCCATGCAACTCGCATCATGTTTATCGCACTCCGACGAGCGCTACATCTAACACTGCAACCGGAGTGACGACTTCTTCGCAAACGACGCGTACGGCTTCAACAGTTACAACAGACGCTCAGAATCAAACAAATCAAACTGGTAGGCATACGAGAATAAGAATATTTCTTTGCAACAAAGAGAGAACTTTTTACGAGTTATAAAAAATATTTTCTAGCAACAACTTCGACTACAACTACTGGTGCCACTTCTACGAACGCAACATCGGCGACGAGCACGGAAACAGCTAATAATCCTTTCGTGAACTTATTGCAACAGATATTAAGCCAGTCGGCAAGCGGTCAATCGCAGCCTAATATCAGCATCAGCAGTAATGGTAGTTAAATAATGATGGATGATATTTATTTAGATATTAATATTGATTATATTGCAGCTCCAAACTTGGGCGAAAATCTGGGGAGTATTATGCAGATGCTCGGCAACAATATACATGTAGGATTCGTAAGTGACAGGTGTGTTTCACGTGAACAGACAAGTTAAAGAATTGTTAGGAATATATGATGCTAATCCCGTTATTTTTTTTGGTGATTAGTATCGGAAGTACTCTTACTTTAGCGGATTTATTCGAGGGTGGAGGTCTATCTATGGATCTTTTCACATCGCAGGAATCCGGCAGAGAGGATAACTTCCTTGTCGATCTTTTTGTACTACTGGTAATTGCGTTAATAATGCACCGTCACGTATCTATTGCGCGATACAAAATTTGATCGATGATATTAATAGGATTTATATATGTAATATACAGGCTCAAACTATGACTCTGGATGGATTAATTAGATTACGTCTCGGTCAATGGGAACCGATTGTTCGTCTTCGAAGACCACTGCAGGAATTTTTACAATATACATTTTCGACTGCCTCATCGCCGAGCGCCCTGCAAGAACAAACGATCGAACGCTTGCTTTCTCAGCTGCGACCTCATATCCAAAATCTTTTGGCGTCTGAAGAAAACGTCAGTGGCAGGAGCGCATCTCGTGTTGACATTTGTGCAACTGTCGAATCGTTGATCGCTCGTCATGCAAGAGATATACTTAGGATTTTGTTTGATAATGGTTAGTACTTTTATCTTAGTACGCGCGCGTCTCAAAATTAACATATCAAATATATTTGATTTAAAGGAGTTGACGATGCGAGATTCGCGCAGGAGATTCTGAACATCCTGATTAATTTGTGCAAGCAATTCTGCACGGTGCTTCGGTATTCGCTGCGAGGCGGTCAAGCTGGGATCGAAGCGATAGCAACACGTTTTGTGGTCAGTTTTGATTTTCTCAAATAAAAGAACGCAAAAATAATTTACAAACGCCATACTCACGCAATTCAATATTTTCTCATTAGGGTGACTTGATGGACGGCGGCAATCCCGCTCTTCGCCAATGGATATTGAATGGATTCATCGCTCATCTCCGTACTTACTTTTTGCGCGTGCCGCAACCTCCGGATTCAGAAATCATACCACTTTTGGTGTACAAGAATATATTGTCCCAGCAGTCATCGGTTTCTTCGGTTTCGACGCGATCTGCACAAACACAATCGGAAGACGAGGTAAGCAACCCATTCGTACTTTTTAGCCATTGCATAAATTATGAAATAAAATCACGTAATTTTAAATGTATAGCCGATGGAAACCGAATCTCTGGAGCAGCAACCGACGCGCGAAAGCTCCCTATCTGAGGATCGCGACATTCCGGAAACATTCCCCGGACATGAAGCTTTACCTTCGGTATGTCGATACGATTAGAAATAGTAGCAAATAATCCGTACTTTGATTCTCAATACAGGCAGTCTAAATTTTTAATTTAATAATTGCAAAATATTTTTTGTCAAATTTTCTTAACGATTCCATACGATTTTAGAAATAATTTAATGTAGCACTGCCACAACTTGGTAAGCTAATAAATGTGAGTTGACAATTTTTTTTCAGGATTGGGTGCCGATCATCGCTCGTGATGGCGTGAGACAGCGTCGACAGTTGCAGATGCAAAGTGTGACACCAAACGTGACGACGTTTAGTGATGCATATTTGGGTGGATTGCCGAGCAAACGTCGCAAGTTGATCGAGCAACAGAAACCGCGGCTTTTAGTTAGTCCCACTCCAAATCATCATTCGACAATAGCGGCGTCCATGGAACGGCTAGTTAGAGAAGGCGTCGGCCGTGCCGGCGTTGAAGAGGTCGAAGGCGCTGCCGTGGCCGTCGCGGCGGACCCGGCGGTTCGACGCGCATTCGGTCAAGCTATTAGAGACTGCTTAAATCCATGTCGATATGGCACGCCGGACTTTCCAGACCCGCTACGCTTCCCGAACGCGACCAAGTATTTCGCGGATCAGGAACGTCCGCCGAAATAATAGCTAGCAGTAAGGTAAAATCGTAAAATAAAACATCGTACTTTGAGCATCAGGAGATATGCTAATTTGACGATGAATAGACAGTCCGAAAGAATCGACACACAAAACAAACAATCCGATTCCGTAAACATTTTAATTCCGTAAAAAAAAAAAGAAGAAAATCACAATCACAATTTTCTCAATGTATAAGTATCTCCAATGAATCTAACAGCTAATCAGCATGACAGGTGCATCTATGTATTATCTGTATGCTCATATCAATATCCGCTTTTATAGAATTACTATTATTAATCTTCGGGTTAAGTTGATTGTAAACTGATTAATTCACATTTAGAACATACCTTAAATCAAACTTTCCGTCAAGTCTTTGTTAAGGGAAAGTTGATAACAATTTCGTAAAGGAATACGAACACCTGTATATATATATAGATGTAAAAATTATTAACTGTGCACTCCTTTATTTATGATTTTTGCACTTGTGCATTAGCTCCCAATTCCGCTGACCCGGCAAGATAGTTTTTCACTCTATTATTTTTTTTATCGTTAGATTGACTACTCCGAATCCTGTAGTAATGGTAAATTTGGAGTGGCTGCAATAAGGAAAATAGGTCGAAATTGTTAATCATATATTGCAAATCTCTCACAAAAAAATCTTGTCGGATGTTTTGTGTAGATAATTAACTTTTCGACGTCTCTGAAGACCCGGGAAACATTTCTGAAGTGGAATCTTTCTACGACGTGTGTATATCTTACGAATTACACGCTAAGACAAATCGATGTGTATGACGCGCGGCTATGGTAATACGTATACTATATGTGAAGTAAGTTTAATTGTTCCAATAACCAAGCAGTTGTAAGGAGAGAAAATGAAAATACAATAAAGTTGTGTATCCCTTTTCCTCTGTCTTTCCGTTTTAATCTGCTCCCCCCGATTTTTAGCAATAAGCTCAATCGACACTATGCGAGTAATAATTTGACAATTATTAATTTATAAAGCCACAAATTTGCCAGAGGTCCTCATAGCTCTTGTAATGTTGGACGTAAACGCAGTTTAATACCTAAAATTAACGTAAAGTACCCATTTAAAAATTAAATAATATATTAGAGATAATATATTAACAAATAATTTTACACTAATTAGAATCTGACGATATTATATATGCAAATTATAAAATACATTAAAAATGAAGGAATCGCAATATTTCGTCATTGTTAATTTGATTTATATGTTTGTCCTTTATTTTTTAAATTTATCGTTAATTTACAGGATGTATCGAAGCCAATTACAGCGATGCAACGTATCGCTATGTACCATTTGGTACCATGGCATGTAACATCTGTAATATGCGGGAACGCCGCTAGTTACACGCGCGACTGATCATCACACGCCCGTCGAGAAATCGGACCTCTTTGCGCTCGGGTCCACCTCCTTCGCCAACTGCTCGATATCGCCGATTAAATTTTCATAATCGCACGCGAGCATGGAAACGAGTCCGAGCGTACCGTGCCATTACCGAGATCATAATCGAGAATCGTGACGAAGTGGAAAGGGGATAATTCACAATTTTT